ATGATACCTACTTTTGATAATTATAATGCTTCATCAATGGTTCTTGGATATCCATCTAAAATGTATCCTTAATTATAAATATCAGCCAATTAAATTCTTTTTTGTATAATTTAAATAATAGATTAAGTATCAACTTCCTTACCTTCTTTCAATTAATTTTTAATATTTACTGACAATAAATCTGTTTAATTTGTTACAAATTCAGCCAATAAATGAGATACTTTTACTCTAGCTAATTTAAGTTTTTCACTTAATAATCTAACAATCTCAGTTTTTCCTGACTTTACTTTTCCTAAAATGAATATAGTAGGTTTAATTTAAACATCATTAGGTACTGTAGGTTTATAAAAGTATTTGTATGGTCTTTAACATACTTATTCTCTTTAATCCTCATTATCAAGATAATAAATTCTATTTCTATATAAAACAGGATAATCTCTACAATGAGGAACATTTTATAAAGTAATAGCATTTCTATTTCCATATTTAGATTATTTATGAGTATATAATTTTTCATAGATATCTAATTTATTTAATTTAAAATTAGTTGGATCTGGATATAAATTTAATTTTTAACATTATTCTTTTTCTAACATATTTTCTCTATATTCTCTATCCATAACATTTTCTAATTATGATGTAATTCTTTCTGTAACATTTTCAATAGTAGTATCACTACTAATAATTACTGCATTTATTTTTAATTCTTCAAATTATCTTTATAATTCTTCTATTTTAGCCATATCTGCTTCATGTTATTATAATAATTTATCTTTCTATTCTTTTAACATCTCATCTAATTTTGGTGCTTCTGGATCTTCTTCTTCACCTGGAGGGGCTTCCAATGATGGCAACTCTTCAGCTCCTTCTTCAATAGCCTTATTTCTTGCTTCCACTCTTTCCTAATATCTTTTTTATCTCAATTCTTCCATTTTCATTTAATATTCATCTTCAATAACTTTTGAATTAAAATTTCTTTTAATAAAATTTTCAGGTTCTATTTTAAGTAAAATAACATATTCAGGTAATTTTTTAGCTTCAACCAATAAATCAACAATTGGAGTTGAAACAAGTTCTTCTGAAACATCAAAGAAATTAGCATTAATAATAACACCTGCACAATCTAAGATTTTATTTAATACTTCAATTTCATGAGCTTTACGATCAAAATCAGCAGGATCTTCAGTTATTTCAGCATCTGGAATTTCTTTTCCTTCAGCATCTAATTCCTTTGGTTTAAATCCTTTTAAATAATATCTATTCAATTATCTATTCTTTTTATTAATTTCAAGATTTTAAATTAAATTACCTTTCAAATCTAAAACTGGTAACTTATATAATCTATTCAATATTTTTAATTGAGTACGTAAACCACTTCCTCTTACACCAATAAACATTATTCTTGGTTGAGGTATTGTAATTTTTGATGGAACAAACTATTAGACATTATCTTTAAATATTTATTATTCTTTTTCTCCATAAAATCTATAAACTCTTCCTCTTACTAAAGCAATAAATTCTTCTTTTCCTGGTACTAACCAATTAGTTTTTTATAATGTAACAGGACAATAATTAGCATAATCACCATAAGGAATAGGTTCTTCACCCTCTTAAACATCAGCTGGTGCTCTTACTAAACTTTCATCATCTACTCTAATATAAAATGGATCTAATGCCAAACGTACTCTTGACCATACTTCATCTCTAGTTCCATCAATAGGAATTTCTTTAACATTTTCTTCTTAATAAGCTTCTTTTAATAATGAAGTCAATGCATTAATTTAAGTTAATTCTTATTCAATCAAAATATCAGGATTTCGTTATAATAATATTTATCCAGCTTCTTCTGATCTATCTTACAATATTAAAATCTTATCTATTTTAATTCCCCATAAATTTAATTAATCAATTTATTCTTATGTTTATGGATATCCTATGATCACTATACCTTTTGGTTTAGATGTTTCAGGAACTTTTAATTCATTATCCAATAATGGAATAATCTCTTTAGTTGGTACATCTTCAGGAGGTGGAGTGACAGGTTTAACATTCTCTTCTACAACTTCAACAACTTCTTCCTTCTTCTTTTTTGCTTATTATTTTTTAGCTTCCTTCTTTTTCTTTTCTTCATCTTCTTCAGGTGGTTATTCTTCTTCCTCTTTCTTTGGTTCTCCCCATCCTGGAGGTTTTCTTTATAATGGTATATTTAAATAATTCAGCACCATAGGTAATACATCTTTAATAGTATTTCCTTTATAGAATTCTTTCCATTCAGCTTCTGTTAAATGAATATCATTAACCCTTGGATCAAATGTAGAAGCTAAATGTTTAGTTCTCTCTTATTAAGCTTAAACTTTCTTTCTCACTATATCTTCAACATCAACTAAAGTGTACCCATAAAATTCAGCTAATTGACTAGCAACAGTATTTTTGCCTGAACATTTAGGACCTTAAACTGATACTATATATGTTTTAGGCAATTATGGAGGTTTACATAAATATTTTCTCGGATAACTAATAAATCTATTTTGATTTTCTTCATTATCAAACAAAAACACTCTACCTGCAAATTCACAAGCAAATTCTGTCTTACCTGGTATAATTTTATCCTTTAAAACTAATTCAACTGCATCAACTTATTACCATTATGACCACATTCTATAAACTTTTTCATCTGTTAAATTTAATCCTAACAAATCCTTCTCTGAACCACCCTCTAATTTAATAGCTAAAGGTCTTAAGGGTTATCCTTTTAAAATTTAAGCTGATACACGATCTACTAATTATTATGTTGTCAAGCCAGCTGATTGGAGTGTAATAATATTTTAATCTGGTAAATGATCATATAATGATAATAGTTTCTACCATGATTTTTAAAAATTTGAAAGCGATTCTACTAAAAATTCCTAATCTAAAGGTCTATAAAATAGATCCTTTTCTGTTACAATAGGTGGTTTTTCTTCATCATCTGGATTTTCTCCTTAATCCTCTTCTTCATCTGGATCATTTGGATCTTTATATTTAATTTTAGGCCTTTTCTATTCTTCTCTATCAAATTATGAAGTTGCAACTAGATCATCTTGTTTTTCCATTATTCTAGCAGCAAAATGCAAAACATCTTCATCTGATTATTCTAAATTGACCACATGTGTAAAATATCTACACCCTATTTTAGGTAATACCATTTTGTTTGATAATATTGAATTCACCCAAAATTGATTCTCCAAAGGTAGATCTAATATATATCCTTTATTTTTAGGTAAATCTTATTATAGTTCAACATTAAATAACTATTCTAATTATTCTTAAGTCAATTCTCTTCCAAATTTTAATGAATCAATAACCTCTCTCTCTAAAGGATTCAAAAATTCTTTTGGATTACCCTCTTCATCCATTTATGGATTATTCTCATTTTCTGTTACTTTAGCATAAATTCTTTAAATTCCCTTCTCTAAATCTAAGTATTCTAAATCAAGTTATTTAGCTAATGCCTTAGCAAATGTACTTCTACCACTTCTAGGTTTGCCAATCAAGAATATTTAAGGAGGTGCTTAATTTGCATATTCAATTACATCATCTTCATAAGGATTTTTACTATCAACTGGTAATTATCCTTTTGGTGATATGAATTTACTCAAATATTATTAAAATGATGGTAATTAAATATTTGATTATTATTCTTAGATTATTTCTAATGCAGACTATAATTATTATAAATCTTTTAGTTGATTTAAATCACCCAAAAAAGTTCTAAGAATCTAGGGAATGTTCTTTGGTTATCTTTTATCAGGATTAGATGACTTAGTAATATCAAATGTTTATAATTAAGAAGTTAACAATTATCTTTTAGCTGAAACTATCTTTCTTTCCCATTTCTTATTAACTTTGTTTATTTAATCAATTCTGTAATCTTCCTCTGTAAAGAATTCGCTTTTTATATTAATTAATAATTTATTTCCCTCTTAACTTTTTAATGGGAATTAAGACCATTATATATCTCTTGTTATCAATTTGCTTAATTTATAAAATTAAGAATGAAATCCATAAGAATCATCATTTTATTCTATTATGTATTGCAATCCAATCTCTGGAACTAATTGACTATTCGGTAATGTCAGTAAGAATGTTTCAGTAACATTACCAACCAATTTTATTTCCTTTGCAAATGCATATTAAGATGATGTATAATGTTAGTATTCAGATTGTTAACAATTATTATTCATCAAAGTAAATATCATGCATTCACAACTCATTCCAATAGGAATAATTTCATTGAGTGGTGCCAATTTATATTTGATTATTCTACTTGGAATTATATTAGCACTCTATAATTATTCTTCATTATAGATGTACTATTCAGTATAATATATTGGGAAGTAAGACTTTTTATTGTCACTTTTCAAACAATATTCAACTTTATCAGAATTATGTATTTTCACAAGAATGTGATAATCTACATCTTATTTTGTATTGTCTAATGATCATAAGAAACCAATACCTTTTACATCTATCAACTACCGACGAAAAATACGAGAATGAATTGTTTTCAAAATGTAAATTGCAGAACTTAAATCTGGTTGAATAATCAGTTAAAACAACAATTAAGTTATTGCATCTACAAACACTTGATAACACAAGTATTCTGGTAGATTTGGATCAACATCTGTCATCGATTCTAAATACTATTATGATAACTGTTTCAGACTTTCATCTGGTAAACATATTACACACTTCATAATTGCTGTAATAACCTATAATAACTATAGAAATTCACCTCTAACAACTCAGTTGCTAATACTTTCCCTTATGGATTCTTTCCAATCTAATCCCAAAATTTCAACACATGCTTCTGATATTCCAAATTTTAAGACAAGCTCACAATAAATTTCACACTCAAATTATCTCCTCTCTATAATCGATCTGTATATTATAACAATCAAACATTTACTTTTGTAAAAGAGTGGATTTTACATATTATTTTTTATTAATTTAATATATATATGGGAGGAGGATAATCAAAGGCTTAAAAATTATAATCATAACGAAGAGCCAACAAGCCACAATTACCACAACACTAGACACCAGAATAACATTATCAATTCTTAATTAGCGAACCTATTAGTAGATACCTTTGGAATACTTAATTTGATTATGAAAACTTAATATCTGAGATCCTTTTTAGCATCAGTATCAAAAGATGTATGGATTACTTATAATACTTTAAACCTCATATGAGATATATCAAAAAGGCGGAGAAATTATATAATGATGTTACATAATGTTGTTTATATGAATCAAAATTTAATGATTAAGATAAAAAAATAATGATTGGTGTTCTCATCCTATTCTTTAGTCTATATCATATTTCTAAATTTTAAGTAATATTTAGTTCATCTGATAAGAAATGGTGGGAAGGCACATATTTTGTATCACTACAAAAATATGTCGAATTACCTCCTAAAAAAAATGAAAGCTATATTTAAACTTTTGCTCTTTTTATGTCTGATTATTTCTAATCTAGATTTCATGAATTAAAACCACAAAATGATAATAAAAAGGTTGATCTTGTATCTGTAAGAGTATTAGCAGATTATTATCTATAATTCTTATATAGTGACAGTATATCTTATCTAACAGATTCTGATTAATTCGTTAAAGATTATGCACAAATTAAATAACCAAATTATCAAACCTATGGAAGATACAAATTAGAAAGTAATATCAAAATTATGTCTAAAAAATAGAAATAATAATAACAATTATTGTATTAACAATAGCTTCAAGATTCCAAAACTCCATCATAATAAATAGAAGATATGGAAAAATAATTTAAATTCTTGTCTGATCACTCTTTAATTGAAAATTCAATAATTCAAGATAAAAATAAAGAATAAGTATAAATAGTACAAGAAACACAAAAATTAGAATGAATAGCAATTTTATATTTAATCCAAAACCTATTTTTTTTTTGATATTGTATTTCAAAATTATTCTTCTATCCCAATATTTACTATTAATTAAAAATTTTGGAAACATTTTTTCATTTACCTAAAATTCTAATATATCAATTCTCATTTATGATATTTGTTGAAATAAATGATTTCAAAATAATCAAACCTATTAATAACTCTACTGCTATATATTATTATATAAACTATTGAGCGGTATATTTATTTAGAACTTTAACTCAAATTTTCAATAAAAGAAATACCTTACAATTTTTTAATTAAGATTGAACATTCAATTTACACGTCTAATATTATTATTAATAATTTTCCTAATGAAGAAAGAAAAGTAAAAGAAATTAATCACTGAAGAATTAACATGGGAACAACATGTAATTTGTGGTAATGTTTTCTATAATTAAAGGAAATCAATCATATGAATCAGGTAGGACTGATGAAGCATTGCTAGAATATGATAAGGCTCTAATCCTTAATCCTAACAATTCATTAATTTATCATAATAGAGGTTCAGCAATTTTAAGATATCTTCAACTAGGAATTTTGTATTATAATATGGAGAAAAATTAAGAGGCATTACTTGATTACAATAAGGCCATAGCATTAAATCCAATGGATTCCAAAATATATAATAATAGAGGTAAATATTTTGATTATGTGTTAGGGAACTTATATTCAGATCTAGCAAGATAAGAAGAAGCGTTAGATGACTTTAATCAAGCAATTTAATTAGACCCTAATTTTTCAGATGCCTATAACAGCAGAGGTTTATATCAATATAAGTATCTCTAGCTATGCTTTATGTTGATTTAGGAAGAAATCTAGAGGCTTTAAGTGATTTTGACAAAGCTATTGAATTAAAAGCTTAATCAAATGTATATAAAAATAGAGGTTTCCTATCATTAATAATTAAAGGAATTCTATTATTTAATTTAAATCGATTTGATGAAGCTTTGAAAGATTTTAATGAAGCCATCAGTCATACTAAAAGAGATTCTACTTTATACCTAAACTCAGGTCTCAATTTATTTAGATCTTATTAGCTATTATCTTATAATCCTTAAATAGAAATGAAGAAGCTTTAGAGTATTATAACTTATCAATCAAATTAAATAGTAATGATTAGATGGCTTATAAAAGTAGAGGTAAACCGTTATTGATTATTCAAAGCAATACTTTACTCAAATTTAGGTGAAATCAAATTAGCCATTTCTGACCTTTCTTAAGCAATAATATTAAAATCAGATGATTTTAATGCATATTACCATAGAGGCAATCATATTTAATAATAATTTAGCAAACTAGTACTGGAAACAAAATCAACTAAATTTAGCTCTATAAGATTTTAACAAATCTATTAGGCTTAATCCTAAATACTAAAATGCTTATGATTGCAGGGGTAATTATGATCTCTCCTTAATAGGAAACTTATATCTCGAAATGGGCTAAACCAGCAAAGCTGAATCAGACTTCAATAAATCTATTGAATTAAATTCAAGAAGTTCTAATTCTTACAATAATAGGGGTTATCAAATATCTAAATTTTAGGAAATTACTTGGTAAATTTAGGGAATTATCATGAAGCATTAAAAAATTATGAAGAAGCTATCTAGCTTGAACCCTATAATTCTCTTTATTTAACCAATCTTGGTGAACTGCACCTTAAGATGAATGATATTCAATAAGCTTCTCTCTGTTTATTATAAGCCGATACTCATCTAAAAATCAATAAAAATTCATCATTTACTAGCATTCACTAATTTATTAGCAAAATCCTCCCTATTTTACTTGAAATCATAACTTCATTTGAGAAGGAAATTTTTTTAATAAAAACCTTACCTCTGGATTCTCAAGTCAAATTATAATAAATTAATGAAATAAAAAGAATTGAAACAAGTGTTGTAAGTAAATTAATAGCAATTTTATAACCAATATCTCTTTAATCAAATCAAAATTATCTTTTTAATTAAATTGACCAACTACAACTAATAATATAAGATATTCGAATAAACTTCTCATTGATTTATTAAACTCTATAAATGGAATAAATAGTAGATATAAACGAAGTAAATATCACTACAATTTAAACAGAAATTGCTAGTTTAAAGAATGAATAAAATAATAATAAATATTATTATTTCAAATCCTTATGTTACAACCTCATTTCTTTTATGTAATTCTGTTTAGATATTTAATAAGCTGATAAAATAATAAAAGTAAGTTCAACTTAAAAGGAAGAGTAAGAATTATTTCCAAATTAATTTTGTACATTTAAATCTGAAGATTATATAATTTAACATGAAATTATGGGATCTCTTTTTGAAACAATATTTTGCAAAGCGCTTGGGTATTAAGATAATTTTAAATAAATAATAATTGACAGAAACTTTGCTTAATTATACTTTATTTAAAATACTTTTTCTAAAAAATTAGAGATAGAGTTTCATCTTCTTGCTATTGAACTAGCTTAACAATAATAAGAAATTCCTGAAATAAATTCATTTACTGATTGTGTTGAGACAGTATCAAGAATTTAAATGAAAGAAATTCCGATTGCATCAAATATCTTTTGGAAAAAAGGAATATTAGATTCAATTAAAATCATATAATTTATCGATAATAACATTAATAGAATTTTATCAGATGGGTTATAGTATTTAAGAATGTTTAAGGAAGAATTTTTTAGTGAGGAGGTTATTGTGATTCAAGAATCTCTTCACCAGTCACTTATGGCAGTACCTACTCTGAGGAATGAATAGACAACTTACTGTTCTTTTTGTTCAATATAATGATAAATTATTTTAATTGTGAACTCAAAAATAATATTTTTGCCAGATTTTATTTTATAATAACTTTTATCTATTTATTTAACCAGCAAGATCAGAGAAATGGAATAAGGAAAAGAAATTTATGTAAAGAAATCATCGAATTAAAACAATTCTAAAAAAATCAAGGCAGATGATACACTCAATTTTTATCAGATGAATTTTCGATTTAGTCCTATATGAATCTATTGACTAAATGCTGTATTAGAACTTTGTATATTCAATCAAGTAAGTTTTTCATGTATTAAGCAATTTTTATCATTTTACAAAATTAATTTATCATAATCATATTTTAATATCTTTCTAAAATAATAGAATTTTGAAAAAACCAACAGATAATGGTCCATTTTAATAATAGGCCTTAATATACATTATCTTCTGAAAATATTTCGCAAGTTAATTAGTGAATGTGCTTTACGCTTTTGTCAACAAATTTCAGGATCTTCAAGTGGCTTGCTTGATGTAAAAAAACAAAAATAATTGATATATACAGAAATGCGTTTTATTCGATGGGATAAGACAGAAAGGTTTCGGCTATACCCCAAAAATAATTTTAGTTTTAGTTAAAAATCCTTATATGTTTTTTGGTCTACCCATACCGTTAATTTTTTAAATAATCAGCTTAGACATACTCAAGTGTTTTCAGTTTAGTGTAGTCTATGTAATAGAATATAAATTACGAAAATATAAAGGATTTGAATAATATCATGAATCTGAAGAAAAGACTTTGTTAATTCAAAGTTCTTGTAGAACCTTTACTAAAAAAGAAAGAAGAAAAGAGGAGACATATAAGTATTGATGAAGAAATTTTAAAAGTTGAAGAGAAATCTTAAAGAAAGATAATTTAATAATAAAATGATTATGAATTGATTGGGCATTCTTTGAAGGATATACTACTAACTGTTATTTTCTTATATTTAAAATGGTGTAATGAAATTAATAAATTTGAAATAAAAATTTATAAATATTTGTAGATATTAAAGAAGAGATAATAATAAAAATAATAATCTATCCAAAAACAGAGAGAAACATATAACTACTATAAAGTATCAAAAGGTTTGCTGTAACCATAATATTCTTCTAATTTTAATTTTTAATACCTTCTTATAACTAAATTATGTTTTTTATCTTGACATTGAAATTTTTTTCTTAAAATATTATGTTGGTCATGAAAATGTGACAAATTATCGCTTACTTACAGTAAAATAACAAATTCAAAAAACATCCTTGAAAACCTTCTTTTAAATGCAGCTAGGTCAGATCAGATAAAATAAAGAATCACAAGCAATAAAAATTATAAAATTTATTAAATATATTAAACTAATTAGGATTAGTTGAAAATATTTAAAGATATAGGATGACAACATGATTAGGATTTACAGAATAGTAAAAGTGGTTGATATTCAATAATTATTTATGAGAATTTTCATTGCTTCATGAACTAAATTTGAATATCTAATACCAATTTTAGATTTAGAGTTATAACTATCTGTTGCAGAAATTAAATATTGAAGATTTTTTACACAAGATGATTATATTCAACTAAATGAGGAGGTGGATGGAATCGAAAATTGTCAATAGCAATTTTCAAAAGTCCAAGTCCATTGTATGCAGCTGATTTAGCATTTTCGGAAAGCATTAAATGTTTAGATCAAGATTATTGTTGCCTTATTGAAGCATTAATTAAATAAGATATACAAAAATAATACAAATCAACGGCTTTATAGAATTGAGGATGCATAAAAATTTATTGTGATTTCGGCTTTATTTTAAAAAATCAATATTTATAGGATTAAAATAATTATTGACAAATAGAAATCTTATTTGGTATATTTTAAAATTATTTGAATTAATATATTAAGAAAGATAGTTTTTATTTTATTTAATTATTTATTCTACTTAAAATTATGATTATATTTAAAAATATATATTTGACTTATTTTAAAAAATAATACATTTATTCAAAATTAATAATAAAATTATTTTTATACATATGCAAAAAATGTGTGAATTTATCATGAAATGATTTTGAAGATGATAAATTATATTTGTCAATAAATTGATAATCTTATGTTATATCGTTGTAAATTATATATTTTTATTCAATGCAACATTGTATATTTTAATCTAATATTGGCAACATTGTTTATATCATACCCTCTAAGTGCTATAAGAGAAATAAGTTAGTAGTTTCCCAAAAACATATAAAAAATTTACATCTATTTCAATGGTAGAACTATAAGCAGAATGTTTGATGCCAATTAGTGATACTATACCATTTGTTGTATCTTCTAAATTATGGTCAATTTTGTATTATACTTCCCTTTCACCTGAACCAGTTTTTAATTATTAAACCTCCCATGTTTCGAATGTGATAACTACAATTCTAGGATCAATAATAGCAATCCAATATAAATGTAATTCAAAAAGAGAGGATGGGGCTACTGCAATACCACTAATTTTGAATCCTTTCGATTTTTTATCATAATTAATTACCAGTTGTTGTGATTGAGCTAACTCTTCCTATAAACCCACAGGGAAGAGCATATTACCAATCAAAAAGTGATGGTTGAATAAAACCTAAGGAGCAAATTTAAAAACGATAATTGTATGTCAATCACTACTTATCTTGGGACAGTGGATTAGGTTTCTAAAATATGTCCAGTGTTAAAAATCACTATGACTTGATGTCCTTAATTAAACTAAGGTGTCCAAAAAGTTTATACTAATTTCAATAATGCAATAAGAACTATAAGCTTCATAAAAATTATTTATTATAAATTCGATTTCTCATAAATGTATTTAACAAATTAATCATAATTTATGATCTTATGAAGCAATTTAGAGATTTCAGTACAATGTTATAAAAAATACAATATTTAAACATTAAAATATACCAAAGTATTGAAAGACCATTTTTGATTAAAATTTCTATTTATTGATTATGATTATTTCAATTTCTATAATGTAATTTAATGATATTTCTTATTCTATATTTTTTTTCTAAATTTTACATTGATTGATTTCTAATGATTGATTCTGTTATTATTATTGAAGTGATTTTTTATCAATTATTTATATTAATATAAATAATGAAAAAATTAATATTTGATTTAAATAATCTTGAAACATAAAGTAAAAATTAAGAATCAAAGCTCAGTAAGTTATTTCTTGAATTTGATGAAATTTTCAACAAAAAATATGATATTCTTCATCCATAAAACCCAAAATCAAATTTACTTTTAAAAATTAGACCAGAACTTTTTGCATTAATCTTAGAGTTTTTGGATTTAAAGACCTGCTTTAGATTTCGATTAGTGAGTGGACGTGCAAATATATGTGCTATTATAACGTTACATTAAAAAATAAAACAGTTGCATGAATAATCGGAAAATTTAGAATATGAATTAAATGAATAACAATAAAAGTATTCACAAGATATCATTAACCAGGACTTATTGACAACACAAGAAAATGTCCAAAATGGTTTAATGTAACTAAGCAAAGTAGGAATTGATGAAATACGAATGTATTAAAGACCACCTTAGATTATATCAAAAGTAATTTCATTAGTTTGTATCCTTTTGGATTCAAATATAAAAATATATTAAGAAAATTGGTCAGATTGTTAAAAGATTCTTAAAGATCCTATGACCTTATTGAATAAACTTTTACAATTATAAATAGATAATATTTCAGATTAATAATTAAAATTGCTTTAAGCCATCCATAATGTTGAAGCTCAATAAGTTTAAAATATCTCAAGTAGCTGCTATGGTTTTTATCTATATTTATAATCAATTGTTGAAATAAGAGAATCTAAATATTACATTATAAAGAATTAAAAATTAAATTTAGAGAAGTAAATAAAATCAAATAAAAATCTAATCAAAAAATTATAATAAATTACTAAATGAGAAAGATAAATTATTTTATATGTAAATAATGTATTTATATTCTTTTTTTCTACTTATATAATATTTATAATTTCAATCAAAAGAATCAAGAATTAAATAAAAAAATATATTGTAATCTCTATAAACTATTTACTAATTTTTTCTAATAATTAGAATTTTTAATAGGATAAGCTGCATATTAAAAAAGGAACAAAGATCTTCAAACTTTGCAATTATAGTGTAGAAAACAATTTTATATTTCTTCACCTTTGTTTTCTATATGTTTCCTAATAAACAACTTCTATTAATTCATTATTTAAATTTATTTCATTAAATTATTTTTGAATTTACATCATTACGATGAATATTATATATAATTATTTACAATTTGATTATAATTTAACATTGACTAGAGGGAGTTAACTTAGCTAATAATTAATTAGTAGTTGGATAAATTTTTTTCTTTTGAAAGCTAATTTCGGTGGTCAAAAGGAAATTATTAGAAAATTAATCAGTATATTTTATTTTATGTATATTCTCAATAGTAAATTTCGAAATTACAACTAATATTACCAATATTCTAAATATGAAGATACCCTCTTTTGTTAAGAAGGTTTTATAATTGAACCGAAGAGAAGATAGTGTTTCGATAAGTTAGTTGTAAAATATTTTATATGTGAAAGCAGCATTTTAAATTTATTCAATTAAGTTATTTTTAAGATTTCTCATAAATTTCTAATCTGTTCTTTACAAAATTAAAATTCTCTCATAGTTAACAAATTTAACATAATTATAAGATAAAAAAATTTTAAATTAGAGGTTATATAAGAATTAAAAAAAATAAAATAAAACAATAGGGGTTGTTAATAAATATTTAATTTTCATTTTAAACTGATTTCATTCAAGCCTTTATACAAATACGTTCATAAAAAATTTGATTAAAATTAGTTAATATAAACTAACATGCAAAAAGAAAGTTCTGAGGAAGAAATAAAAATTTATGTGATATGTCTAATAATTGAGGCAAATGTAAATTACTTAAATTATATGAAGATTTTTTAAAAGTTATGCATACTTAATATTCCATTAGTATGATTTTAAATTTCTTCATAAGATCAATTTGAATGATAATTACTTGATTAATTTATATAATTTATACAGTTTGTTTGACTTTATTAAACACATTAAGCATGATTTATTACTTATGTATAATTACTTTAATTCAATAAATAACGATTAGAAGAATACTTTTCACCAAATATTAAATTTTAATTCAAATAATTCTTTTATAAATATATATGCATTATTAAAAAAAACTTCTATTTATAAAATATTTGATATATCATAATGATTATATTTATTGCATTAGCTTAGATAACTTATCAAAAGATCATATATAATTTTGATGCAAATTTGGATGATCCAGATGGTATTTTGGTTTAATAGATTAATTAGATTGGTCAAATGATCATTATACTCATGATTTCGAAACTTGTGATGACATTTAATTTTTTGGGTCCATCTCAGAAGAGTCTGTAATTAGTAGATTATTTTTAAATCTAGAATCCCATTCTGCAATTTAGGTGGAAGCCTATTTTCTAATGTATGTGTTTATTAATTTCAAAAGTTATGATCCATATAATAATGTTTAATTCCTTCTAGATGACACATCTATAGAATATGAAGAAACAAATATTGCATATTCTAATTATACCTGTGGGCCTATATTTTTATCAACTATTTCTATAATTCATTAGCATAATAGAAGATCAGGTTGGATAAAAATATTTTAACCTAAAGGAGGAATAATTCGCTTGTAATTAAGTATCCTGAATTGTTAGGAAGAATGTATTGCATGTATTTGCAATTATCCAATAAGTTGTGTTAAATGGAATTTACATTAGCTTTCATTTAATTAGAAATTATTAGCCTTTCCTGATGGATGGACTCTTACTCCTAATTATTTAGAAATTGCAACTTCATTTTGTGGAGGTTGTGAATATCTAAAATTTTAGGAAATTTCTTATTCAACCGAACTACCTCCTCATTAACATATATTAATTAGGTTTTATAAAGGATCTTCAAGTTCAATATAATTGGACTATATGTAGGATAAGTTGATCTTTTTAGAGAATGAATATTTTGTTGAAATTTTAATAAAAAATTACTTTAATTCTATTTTGAATTTGAATATAAAGACAGTACTTTCTACAGATTAAAGTTGGATAAGAGACTTTGAAATATATTACACTTTGCCAGAAATAACATTTCTTAGCTTGAATGAAGGTTGTTAAGACTAAATTGGTGATAGATGTTTAAATTGCAGAGATGGTTGGATTGAAGATGAATATTAATCGAACTGCATTCCAATTTGTGGGGATACAATCATTCAAGGGTATGAAGAATGTGATGATGGTAATTTAATATCTAATGATGGTTGTTTTCATTGCAAATATTAGTGTTTTGATTCTTGCAAAATTTGCATTTTTGGAATTTGTAAACTATGTCTTAATGGTTTTGTTCTTAATGAAAATAATAATAATTGCGAACCATAATGTGGGGATGGCATTGTGATTCCTTACTCAACTGAACAATGTGATATTAAAAGTGAAAAAGATTTAAGTGGTTGTAAAGAATGTAGATATATATCAATTCCTTATTGTTAATAAAGTTATTTTTCTACTTGTTTAGAGTGCTATTAAGGATTTTCTATTTTAGATAATGTATGTTACCCTTATTGTGGAGATAAAAGGGCTCTTGAATAAATTGAGTAATTAAATGATGGTAATTTAACAATTTATGTTAATTGTATTTTTTGTGATCAAAGATTTTGTAGATTAAAATGTAAAGATGGATACGAGTATATTAATTATAGTTGTCTTCCCATTTGTGGAGATTAAATTGTCACTATTGAAGAGGAATGCGATGATGGCAATACTATCATGTTCGATGGTTGTTTTGATTGTAATTATTCTTGTCCAGAAAATTGTCATGATTGTTATTAAGGTATTTGTTTAGAGTGTAAAAGTCAATATCTAATTTAAGAATCAAATCAATGTAAATTATAAGTAATTTGTGGAGATGGATTAGTTTAATAATAAGAGGAATGTGATGATGGAAACAATTAAGCAGCTGATGGTTGCATGAATTGTTTAATTGAATAAAATTGGGTATGCAACAAAATAATATAAGATTCTCCAAGCTAATGCATGTATGTAAAAGCTCCCAATTTGGTAATTAATTATCTCAATATGACTCAAAATAAATAATATTTAAACATCTAATTTAATTAATAAGTAAAAGTTTAAACTTATTAATTATTATCAAAAACTATTTCTTTAAAATTAGTGAATATAGATAATTACAATTGGAATAGTAGTCTTTAGATAATATAGGATGTTGGATCTGATGTGAATTTTGGAGTATATGTTTTAGAAATAGAGATTTACTAATTAATTGATTTTAGACCTACCTTGAAAATCTCATTAAATCAATCGGTTTTTAATATAGAAGATGCTGTCTTAGTTGACTATTCAAAATCTATAACATTAGATTATCCAAAATATCTTAATGAAGTTCAAATGGAATATTCATTAAGATTAAAAAATACCAATATGTACCTTATATATATTTTGGCTGTGATAACTGCACTAAGTTTATTATTTGGAACTGGAGATATATTTGTTGAAATTTTGGCCATTTTATAATACTAATAATACTTAAGATACATGAATCTAAAATTTCCATTAAATTTAGAAATATATTTTTCTATTAATGATATGATATCTATCTAACCTTTATTAGATTTTATTAATTTTCAAATGATCTTTACATTTATCAATATTTAAACTGACTAAGAATATTCAGAAGGAAAAATAATTAAATAAAATTCTAATTTGATTATAAATCTTTCATCTCAAATAATTTAATGTATAATTTTTTTACTTCTTATGTTAATTTTGAAATGGATTAAAAAAGTGATTTATAATTGGATATTTTGTTCACGATATTTTGAATGTATGTCATCATTATCTAAATATATAAGTCCTACTATAATTTTTAAGTTTAGCTAACTATTCTATAATAATTGTCTGAGTATTATTCAATTAGATAAGGTAATTTCTTTTTAAGGATTATAAAAAGCCTTATTATTAAATGGTTGGGATATGATATTTAAAATATTGTTATATACAAGAAACATTTAAACTAATAATTACTTAGATATTTTTTAGATAATTATAGCAAGCATAATTCTTATTTTATATTTTATTGTAATATTCAATAATTTAAAAGGTAGAAATTAAAAATTATAAATCTACAAACAGAAAAGTTTTGAAATCTTTAATTTTATAAGATAATTCTTATTTTTATTATTTTTGATTTATGTATAAAGTTCGTAGCTACTTTAATTAGGATTACTCCTTTTAACAAATATTTTTGAGATCAATTTAATATATAATTATCGTTGCATCTTTAGAAAATCAAATTATGTAGTTTAGATGCTTCTTGAGATATCAGTACTTATATATATGCTAAGTTCATTCTTGTATATAGAAGAGTTTAATTAATATTTTAATGAAGCATAAAAGATATTTTTAGGATGGATCTAGGCATTAATATTATCTTAAGGCATAATAATTGAATTGATGATAATCTTATATAAGGCTTACATTTTGTTAAAAAAAAAATGCATAAATATGTCACAATATTAATAGCAATAAAAAACTAATAGTAAGCTTTAGGAATAATAGATCTAACCAATTAAAAGGACTATATTCAAAATTGATTGAAAATTTTATTAATAAAACATTCTACAAATTTATGAAGCTTCTATAAATATAAATATATTTTTTTGTTGGTCATATTAAACAATTTTAATTGTACTCTTTTGATATTATATTTTTTATATTCGATAATAATTTTTACAAATTATGTTAAGTAAGGATAAAATAAATTACCTTCAAGTAGGCTAGCATTAAAAGATAATGATTAATTTATAAAATATACATCCTATTCAATTAAGGGTTTATTTTCAACAACAATATAATTTTTGAATACTAATATTTAATTTTTAAGGAAATTGAGTTTAATCAACTGCTTTTCTATGAATGATTTTTTGATGACTTTCCACAGGAATGTTAGGTTGACTTCTGTTTATTAATATCTATTGATGATAACTTGATTCTTCTTTATTATATTACATTTTCATTTATTTTTTCTTCTTCTCATTTAAAATAATATGAAATACAAAATAAAGAAACATATTGAATCTTAAATCTCTTTTTAATATTAATTTTCATTTTCTTTTATTTAGACAAATTATTTCTTCTACTCTTTATTCTCTTGATAAATTATTAATTATTTATAGACTTATTGTGATAACATTTTAAATAACTTAACAAATGAAATATAGTTATCATTAATTTATCTGTAAATCATCCAAATTATGGCCTTCATATTAAAAAGTGATGAACTTGATAATGTACATTCAAAACATAATAATATCACCAATACTTAGTTTTTATGGTATATTGATGTATTTAGCTTACTGAGAACATTTTTTAAGCATAATTTATGAATAAAAACTCTAAAATATTCTATTCTAAATTAAAAAATCTACTTCCAAAAAAGTTTATTTCATAAAAATAAATATTCTTACCTAAATGCCAAGTGCTCTTACTTATCAATAAGTACTTACCAATTATATATTTATTGGAAAAACAAGTGGGGGATCTTAAGAAAACTAGTGGCATGGAAGAGATATATAATTTAGAGGTACTTTATTTTATTAACTTATTAATATTTTATTCTTAATTATAAGTTTTTAACTTGAAAAATTTTAATGTTCTATAAACAATATAATATAATAAAATAAATGCTTATTTATTTGGAAGGATTTCAGCATATTAGCAATATTTTTGAACTTTAAAATTATTCAATAATCTAGTTAAGATGAAGAATAATTAACTTCAACTTAATGTTTTATTTGAAAAACTAAACTTATAATTTAATCGAATATCATATTTTTTTTCCACTATATTAAAATATCATTTATACACACTTACTAATACTATAATTCTATTTTATTTTCACAATATAATTTTGCAAATCTTGCAAATCTTGCAACACTTTCTATTCTTGGTTGATCCTGACCTTTTAATTGCCTTCATCAATTTTAGAATAAATACATAATTATAGAAATCCATAATTTATATAGATATTTCTCAAATCAGCAATTGATAAACAAGATTTATTCTCTAAATTATACCAGTCATCTTCAAATAGTTAAGGGATTCAAGAGAATAAATTAATTTTAAGACCCCTATAAAGAATTTATACTTTATCTTGAGAGTGTTGAATTATTAATTATAAGATCTTGTCCATTTTAAAAAAATTAATTAATATAATTGTTTTAACTAAATTTAGAAATTATAAAATTATTATGAATGTAAATTTTTAAAGAATAAATTTATATAATTTATATTATATTTAGATATCTTCTAATTGAAACAGCCCCACTTTTTAAATCATAAAAATTTTAATTACATCAACAAAAATTCATTCTATTAAAGAATATTAAATAATTATTAATAGAATTATTATTAAATTAGTTTAATAGAATTATATACAAGATATATAAATTGTAATTATATATCTTTATTTACTTATATTAAATTACAATAAATATGGATCAAATAAATATTTAATAAACCCTAAACCAGGGGTAACAAGTAAAGACTTAGCCATAATTCTTTCCAAAAATTCTTTCGATTTAACTTTAATAATTCTAACAATAACCGAGTGTATAATCAAATAATGAGAAACAAGAATCAGATATGAAACCCATGGAAGATGATGAATTCATTAATCCTTCGAAAGAAGAAGTAAAAGAAGCAGCTAAAAAATATGATCTAAACAAAGATCTATCTTTTGAAATTAGAGCACTTAATAAAATTTAAAAATCTTCCAGTGTCAAGGATTAATACATTCCTGCTATGATAAGTCTTAAAGCAAAAGAAAACTATATTGAAGCAAATGATTTGAGTAATAGAGTTGGAGTAGATTTGGTAAAATATATATTTATAATAAGATTTGTTTAATCGATAAAAGTGGTAGTATGATGGGTGAGAAAATTGAGATGGTCAGATAAACATTAATGGTTTTACTTAATTTTTTAGGAGCAAAGGATAGGTTATAATTGATTATTTTTAATCATTGTGCAGAAAGAATAACTCCTTTAAAATGTATAACTGAGGAAAATAGGGGATATTTTGAAGAAAAAATCAAAGGAATTAATGCAACTGGAAATACTGATATATCTAGTGCAACCTAAATTGCTTTTTAACAATTGAAAGATAGAAAATATAGAAATAATGTTACTTCTATATTTTTATTATCAGATGGTCAAGACGATTAAGCTTTTACTAATATTAAATAACAAATAAATTAAGTTGAAGAAGTTTTCACTTTACATACCTTTGGATTTGGTAAAGATAATGATGCTAAAATGATGACATCAATCAGTAATCTCAAAGACGGTAGCTTCTATTTTGTTTAGGAAATAAATTTATTGGATGAATTTTTTGTAGATGCTTTGGGTGAATTAGTATCAGTAATTGGTGAAAAAATATAAATTTAATTATAAATTACATCTTAACCTCCTTTTTAAGATGTTAAAATATCTAAGACCTTTGGTACTATGTGGAATTAAAACGAAGCTAAATATTAAATCCTAGTACCATAATTAGCTTGTGGTACAAGAAAAGATTATGTATTTGAATTAATGCTCCCATAAATTAATTTTTAAATTAATGACAATTAAAGAAATGTAAATGTATTAGAAGCTTAACTTACAATTACTGACCCTTAAAGTAAATAGGTGATTTAAAAACAAGACATTCTTGAATTAGTTATTCTTAATGAAAATGATGAACTTAATTAAAATGAAGATGATATAGATGTATAATGCTAATATTTCAGAGTCAAAGGAACAGATGTAATCAATTCTGCTAGATAACTATGTGAGAGCAATTAAAATGATAAAGCTCTAACTTTGATCAAGAATATCCTGATACAAATTAAAAGTAAAGAAAAAGTAGCTGCTTCAAATGAATGTTAAGGTATTATTCAGGATTTGGAATAAGCATTATCAGCTTCTCAAAAAAAAGAGTATGTTGATTATGGTAGGGCTTAAATGATTTAGATGGTTAATAACAATTACTAATAAAAAGGAATCAATTCATAATTTTATAATGGACTACAAATATAATAGTAGATTCCAGCTTAAAATTAAAATTTTTGTTAAAATCAAATGATGCAATTTGTCTAAATTAACAAACCTCCCTAAATTAATTTTCCAGGATCCAAATAACAACCAAAATGAATAATTTGAGAAATATAAATTTATTATGATAATCAAATCAATTATTTATTCATACTCTGATATATTTTTCTAATAATTAGCTATAATTCGAAAATAAGTAAGTCTCAATAGATTTCATATCCATCTATAATTTATTAAGCATTTCCGTTGAACCGTATTAGAATACTTAATTATAAATTTAATTGTAAATCTCAAATTACCTTATGATCTTTATTTATTTTTATAGTATAGAGACCAAACATTCTCAACAATCTCCCATATAGGTCAACAAATTTCTAGTTTTCAAGTAAGTTGCTTTATGTATTAAAGATATATCATTTATACATTTGTTTAGTAGAATACTCCAAAATTGCAGACAATTCAAATAAATAACATAAAATATATATACAAGAAGAGATTAATCTATTGAAAACAGGTTAAATTTCAAGTTGGATAAAATTTCCTCTTTTAAGAAACCATATAGAATCTCATCTAAGGCTGAATGATTATTAAGGATTATTGACATAACTAATGAGTAATAAAATTTTTGATTATTAAAGGTATAAATCTTTAAATTTATTCATATCTTAAATATTGAAGTCAATCAAAATCATTTTAATTGATTTAAATTATGAATATTTTAGGGCTTTGAAATTGATTGAAGAACATTTTTAATTCTAAATTTCAAAAAATAATAAAAATAAAATATTCATAATAACTTATAGAAACAATACTTGATTTGCAAATAATACTTTATTTTTCTTCAATTTATTTTTGAATAATTAAAAATATACTATGATTGATTTATCTATCTTCCCATAATTTTATATTTATGAATTATCGTAAATCAGTTTCTATCAAATTAACTAATAATTATCAATAATATTTTTCTAATTACAAAAAGTCAAATAATTTAGTTAAGTATTCAATTTCGATTTCTTTATTATTTGCATAAGGATTTCTTAAATTCATTTTAGGTTTTAAAATCCATAATGTATAAATTAACATATATTAAAATTTCTAATAAATAGTGATCAGAATGATTTAATAATCAATAATGGTAAATGAAGCAATATTAATTGGTGAATATAAGCTTGAGGAACAGTAAGTCGTGTGAAAATTTATTAATAGAAAATAAAGTAACAACTACTACTAAGTAAAATAATATTTAAATATTATTAACATTTGTTTGTCTCCAAATTAGATTTATTTATCTATGTTGGTGAATAAGTTTTGTGGTTAAATTATAAATTGTCCAAAGAATAATAAATCAAAGATAAAGAAGCAGAGAATCAAGATTTTTGATATTAATACATGGTAGATAATATTTTAAGCTTATATAAAATGCTCTGCTTAGTTTAAGATATATACAAAATACTCTTAGGATTCAAACTTCTTAATGTGTTATGGAGGGTAAGAAATTGTAATTATAGATATTAAAAATTAAAAAGAGTTTATAATAGATTACTTTTAATAAAATCTAAAATTATTTACATTTGATATCAACAATAATTTATATATCTAAAAGGATGGGAATTTCATTTAACTTACCTTAGAGAATGGCAAGTGGAATGAAAAATAAATATTATCTACTTAATTTAATGAAGATATTAAATATTTTTAAGTTCTAGATCATAATTATGAGTTAATTATTAAATCTTAATTTCAATTTATAATATTAAGAATTAATGAAAAAGTAGTAAATTCTAGAAAAGTTATGGTTTAATCAAATAAACCTGAAATTTTGATTTAGAATAGCATTCTGGTGGAAATGGATGCTTTTGTATCAAAAAAATATTTTACTCGACAATTGAGAAATGGGAAAATCATTCGAAAAGGAGAAACTGATAATGGAACTTAACAAATATTTTAGGATGCAAATGGATTATATTAAATTAAAAAATAAGAATTTTAACAAAATCTTTATGTATATAGTAGTTTCGATATTATAAGAGGGTAAATTATATAAAAGAGAATATAATTTGACTCTCAATATTTAGATGAATAATTTATATTTTAAATCTATGGAGATTTAATTATAATGATGAATCAATTTAGGACAATATTAAGATGTTTTTGCATTAATAAAAGATTATAATTAAGGCAAAAATCTTATGGCATTTAATGATTTTTACAATAATAAATTTATAAAATATTTTTGTATTTAATATTACTTTCATCTATTTTATATGTTATGTATTAACAAATCTAAAGTAATTTATTATAATTTTCATAAATTTTTAAAAAGAATAGAAAAACTAATTTAATAGAATTTTACATTAAAGAAATTAAATTTTAAGGAACAAAAATTATCTTGAAATCCTTTATATCAATTTAAAATAAGATTAAAAATGATTATAAATTACGAAATATTTTAATTTAAATCCCTATTTGATGACTACTTTAAAAATCATAAAGAATCATTAAAATTTATTAAAACTTAATATTATTTAATTACTTAAAATATAATCAAGTTTATTAAAAATATACATTTAATTGAATATTAATATATTTGGAGATTTTTAAGATTTGAACCAATAGTAATTATGGGACTATTTCTTTTATAAGGACTATGATGATAAATAAATATAAAATTCTTTCTTTGTTCTTATTATATTGACTACAGAATAAAATTCTTAATTATAAATCTATGATAATAATTATCAATATAAAAATAATTTTAAAGTAATATATTAATAAAATGATATGGTTCTTGAAGAGATTTGATTTTAATTAAACAATTTTTTCTTTCGTTTTTTAATTTTTTTAATATTGGAAGATATTTTACTTAATAAAGATAAGATATATCAAATAAAATGTAATTTTCTATGATTATTCTATTTCACTTAATATCTGTTATGCCAATATTATTTTTTTAATTCTTACTATTCTTTCAATATAATAGAAATTTTTTTAAAGTAATCTTTTTAAATAAATTAAAGTAGTATATTGCAGAAGAAAGAATTAAATAATATCATACTCAAAAGACGGGGAAAAAAGTAATGTTAATGGAAGGGATTAATCATGAAATTTCAGTATGAGCTAAGATTATTTATTACTTGATCAATTCATTCTTTAAGTACTTAACCGATAAAATAAATATCTAAATTGATAAAAATCATGTATGAAAATTGTAAAAAGTGAGGATATGTAATATTTAATATATGTATCTAAAAGATTCAGAATAAAAAATCAGATATTATAACAATCTCTAGGACACATAGTTTATTATGATAATTCTATACATAATATAGCTAAAGATCATTTTGTTTATCAAAACTATTTTCAGATAAAATGAAAATAATTAAGATGTAATTGTTTCTTAATATGCAGACAACTTTTATTACTAGTTTAGACTTCATTATGAGATAGAAAATATACATTTAAAGATTATGAGTTTGAAGCTAAATGTTATAACACTGAGTATTAATTTTCATTAATTCACATCAAATTAAAGTAATTTAAATATCTACATATAATTATATATTTTAAATTCATACTATTGTTATAGAAATTTAAGTGAATTATATTTTATTTGAGACTATCAATTTTTTTTTTTATTTAAAAAATTCAAAAGTTTGAATATGAATTGACCCCTTTTATTAAAGGGTGAAGTGGTAACAAAAATCTTTATTGCTTTGAATAGCAGGATATACTTTTCATTTTTCTTTTATTACTTTTTTTTTCAATTTGTAAGTTATCATAATTTTAATAAATTTCTATCAATTCTATAACTCTATATCTCAAATATTCTAGTTTATCAGTTAATACGAAATCAAACTTGATTTCGACTTTAATATTTTTGGAATAATTATGTTGTAACTAAAATCTAATATGTTTAATACTAATAGTAATATGGTAAATGTGATGTCCTTATTATTTTAAATGTTTTTTCAAAGGAAATCAAAATGAATATACTGATAGTTTATATTGGGAAAAGGAACCTTATCAATAGTGAAACAGGTAAGCAAACTTATACATCCAAGCCTAATGATTTGATTAATTAAAGAAGAGATATACATAATTCTCAAATAAATTTATGTCAAAGCGTTTATTGCTAACTTTATATCAATTAGATCAAAATGATTAGGAAGGTGATCTAAATTACATGTTAGATAATAGGATATATAACTCATCTGGTTATCAAATAAAAATAACAGAAATGTGGCATTTTACTTGAAAGAATAAAGTCCTTATTATAATTAAAAAGTCAAGCAACTTTTTAAAAATAAAATTCTCATAATTAACGCACTAGACATTTTGTTTTTTATTATAAAATAATTCTTCATTCTTTAGATTTAAATTTCATATAATTTATATTAAATAGACAATTTTATGTGAAATATGATTAAACCTATTCAAGAAATTATTTATTGATTTTTAATAGTTTTTGATTTATTAATAAGTTTCATTTTTAATAATTTGATATTAATAAAAAAAATTAATTTTCAAGCCTTCAATATATAGATTTTGAATACTCAATAAAGAATTTTGTGTAAATGTAATTTAAAATCAAATTTTAACTAATAGAGACTCCTATTTGATTTATTGTTAGGCTTTGTTTTTATATGAACTTAAGAAATTTATTCAATTCTAATTATAAAATATTGGGGATTAATAAAATAAAATATTCATTAATTATATATTTCCTTATTATTGGTGCTAATTTATTATAAAGATCCCTGAAATTAGCATTTGATAATCTCAAATTCAAATAACTAATTTTGAATATTTACTTAGGGATTCTTCACTTTATAAATTTAAAGTAAAAATTCTAAGAATAAACAATTAGGATGACAACCAAAGTTCCTTACTAGTTAGAATATCAACTAAAGCCAATAGAAATAAAGGAATTAAAAGTAGTTTTTAACTAAAATCAATTTTCAATCATAGAAATTAAAGAAAAAGAATAGATAAATATTAAATGGTATCTTAATTTTATAGAAATGATGAAGTAGAAATATAAAATTCTATTTGATGCTTATTTTAGATTCTGTGGTTGTTAGAAATTTATGTTAAGTTGTAATATACTAATTGTCAATAATCGCTATAATTTCTTATATTAAAAATTACAATAGAAGTTGATAATGATCCAATCCATTTGTAACAATTGAATGAATCACAATTTAAATTTTCTTCTAAAAAATATGTANTAGCAGGATATACTTTTCATTTTTCTTTTATTACTTTTTTTTTCAATTTGTAAGTTATCATAATTTTAATAAATTTCTATCAATTCTATAACTCTATATCTCAAATATTCTAGTTTATCAGTTAATACGAAATCAAACTTGATTTCGACTTTAATATTTTTGGAATAATTATGTTGTAACTAAAATCTAATATGTTTAATACTAATAGTAATATGGTAAATGTGATGTCCTTATTATTTTAAATGTTTTTTCAAAGGAAATCAAAATGAATATACTGATAGTTTATATTGGGAAAAGGAACCTTATCAATAGTGAAACAGGTAAGCAAACTTATACATCCAAGCCTAATGATTTGATTAATTAAAGAAGAGATATACATAATTCTCAAATAAATTTATGTCAAAGCGTTCATTGCTAACTTTATATCAATTAGATCAAAATGATTAGGAAGGTGATCTAAATTACATGTTAGATAATAGGATATATAACTCATCTGGTTATCAAATAAAAATAACAGAAATGTGGCATTTTACTTGAAAGAATAAAGTCCTTATTATAATTAAAAAGTCAAGCAACTTTTTAAAAATAAAATTCTCATAATTAACGCACTAGACATTTTGTTTTTTATTATAAAATAATTCTTCATTCTTTAGATTTAAATTTCATATAATTTATATTAAATAGACAATTTTATGTGAAATATGATTAAACCTATTCAAGAAATTATTTATTGATTTTTAATAGTTTTTGATTTATTAATAAGTTTCATTTTTAATAATTTGATATTAATAAAAAAAATTAATTTTCAAGCCTTCAATATATAGATTTTGAATACTCAATAAAGAATTTTGTGTAAATGTAATTTAAAATCAAATTTTAACTAATAGAGACTCCTATTTGATTTATTGTTAGGCTTTGTTTTTATATGAACTTAAGAAATTTATTCAATTCTAATTATAAAATATTGGGGATTAATAAAATAAAATATTCATTAATTATATATTTCCTTATTATTGGTGCTAATTTATTATAAAGATCCCTGAAATTAGCATTTGATAATCTCAAATTCAAATAACTAATTTTGAATATTTACTTAGGGATTCTTCACTTTATAAATTTAAAGTAAAAATTCTAAGAATAAACAATTAGGATGACAACCAAAGTTCCTTACTAGTTAGAATATCAACTAAAGCCAATAGAAATAAAGGAATTAAAAGTAGTTTTTAACTAAAATCAATTTTCAATCATAGAAATTAAAGAAAAAGAATAGATAAATATTAAATGGTATCTTAATTTTATAGAAATGATGAAGTAGAAATATAAAATTCTATTTGATGCTTATTTTAGATTCTGTGGTTGTTAGAAATTTATGTTAAGTTGTAATATACTAATTGTCAATAATCGCTATAATTTCTTATATTAAAAATTACAATAGAAGTTGATAATGATCCAATCCATTTGTAACAATTGAATGAATCACAATTTAAATTTTCTTCTAAAAAATATGTATTTATAATATTCATCAGAAGATCTTTAATCAATTGTTAAAAAATAAACATAATATATAATAATTAGCTTATTATTTTAGGCATAAAATTATATTCAAATCAAAAAGAAGGAAAATTAAAAAAAGCTAAGCCAATATAATTTAGTATTTTTCTTGTTTAAAAACAATTTGATTATTTTTATTATTATTAATTTAAATTATAATCTACATTTCTAATGTAATTAAGCAGATTATAAAAGTCAAATTTATTACTTGATACTTATTTTAATTAATAATTGTTATTTCTACTTTAATATGCTGTTTTCAAAAATTAATCACTATTGTTTGATCATATTTAAATTCAATTCATTCAAATATATATATTTAAAGATAATTCTTAAAACTTGGCATTTTATAAAATAAAATTGATAATTTATAAATATATATTCCTCATTATTCTTTACATCTCCTTATTTGTATTTACTTTGATTTATTATCCCATGTGATCAAATACACTCCGTCATCACTCATTGTTCCATATAAATCATCAACTTCAAAATGAATAGATTATTCAGTTAGAAATTCTCCATTTTCTTTTTTCGTAATCAAATTGACATATTCTCCATTCTTACAGACAAGAATACTTTTTTAATTTATATATTGTTAAGGAAATCTTGCATAGACATCTTATCCACTTTTTATAGGAATAGATTTAGTTTTGGTAAATTATTTATTGTTATTATTCAACTCAAAAATAGATATCTCTTCTTTATTATATGGTGAAAATGTGAACATATTATTATCAATAAAGCATACTCGAAATCCATAATTTTCAATTGTAATCTTTTATATTAGTCTCCATTCTTAATTCTATTCTGATTATTCTATTATTAATATATAATAATCATATCCACATGATACAACTCTATTTTATTATTAATTCAAACTCAATCCTAATACAGATTAAGAGTATTCCTTTATTGTTTATTAGCACAACCATTAATTCTTATTTATCCAAAATTTTATAGTGTTATCACCACTCCCTGATATTATTAGATCTTCATTAGTATTTATGATTAAACATTAGATACTATTATTATGTCCATTTAGTATCTATTTAAAACTCCATTAATTATTTTAGTTACATTTCCATATTATTATCGAATGATCACAACTTCCAGATATAAACTATTTAGATTTATGCATGAAGTTTAAAGTTTATACCCAATCCTTATGTTATTTTAAAGTTTAAATTTTTTTGATCATTCCTTAGTTGAATTCAAATACTTTAATTAGTGACTCACATCCAACCAGCAATGTTGAACAACCTTTATCAATAGCTATTGCACGACACAAATCACTTTATTAAATTGAACATTCTTGGATTAGTTAATAATTGAAAGGTTTGATATTCGACTGATTAATAAATTAATCATTTTATAATGGTTGAATATTCGTCTTAGTATTTAACGATGATATTTCTTAATTCATTATTTTTATATTGGTTTGTAATTATTAATAATTTTCTGTATATTTCTTAGAATCTAATTCTAAACTCAACAAGTGTTACTTACATTAATTATATGCATCAAATTAATTAAATTATTCTAATTTAGGATTCAATTTTGAAGTCCAACAGAGATTGATTTTCTAAATCTCATGGATATATAAATTGGAATCAGGTTAATTTGACTTCATAACCATAATTTCTAATTCCTCAAAAAAACTAAATTGAGAAAATTATAATCTTTGTTATTATAGATTCTTAATCCATCCAATAATTATAGTAATCAATTATTCTAATTATTACATTAGATATGATTTCATTTAATCAACAATACTATGTAATGATTCAATTAATTTAATTTAATTCATTATGATAGTTTCAACTTTTTCCATCTTTTTAATTTAATTCTCTTCTATTAATTATATCATTTTCTTTAATCCAACTGCTTTGCCATCTATGTCTGCATTTTCTAAACATTCTGTGCATAAGAGTCTCTAATTCCTTGATAATTTTGGATCAAGTGCTATTGTAATGACTGGTAGCATATGTCCTTTAGAGCAACAAAACTCTTTTTCATTTTCTATCATTATTGGTTTTTACATTAAATTCAATAATAAAATAAATTGAGAATTAATTCACATTTATATTGCGTATTGCCATCTCTATATTTTATTCCATAGCCAGCAAGTAAAGGATTTGATGCCTTTTTATTCCTTTTTCAAACAATATTGTTTTAAAAGTCGAGCTCATAAATAAGAATTTTTTTCAGATATTTTTTTGAAATAATAAGGAAAAAGTTTATTAGGGCATAGCTCTTTGCAATTAATTCTATTTTGTAAAACAATTATTTCCTACAATATTATGTTATTGATTAAGCAATTTAAGAATAGTAATACTCCCTTCCTACTTATAAATTTATATTTTCAATAAATGTAATACTTATATTAATCAAATGGTTATTATCATTATTATTTTCTAAATGATTGGAAATATCTTAATAATTAGTCTAAATTAAGTGTATTATATTTTCCTAATTATTCATATTTCAACTTCTTATTTAAATCATAAAATTAGCATCTTGTATCCGTAAAACATGCCACTCTAATCTATGAATTAAGATTTAATATATTAATGTTAAGAGTAATTCTCTTAATCCATAATTTATACTTAATCTCTATTATAACGACATTATCATTCATAAAATTATATAAATTTCATACCTAAGTATTAACTTATTTGTGAAAATAGTTTATAATATTTATTAGCCTTGATTTCAATATAAAAAGTTATTTTTTGTTAATTAAGTAATATTGGAATTGAACTTGTTTTATTAGAAGTTTTAGACTAATCATTTTTCATGATATCAATAGTTTCATTTTCTCAAAATATTATTCTTAAACCAAATTTAAATGATAAACAAACCTATGAATAGTTTTTGAGAAATAAAAATTTGATTATTATTGTTATCCTACTTTAAATTAAAACAGAGTTTTGTTCAAAACAGATAAAATTTTCTTTAAAAATATGTATATGAATACTTAATTGAAAAATATCTAGATTCATCTTTTCCAGACTGATAGTATTGTTTTGATTTTATTCTTTTTTAATTAATAACAATATTTCACTTTATTCATCTTTGGAATAAATAAAATTAAAACCACTTCCCTTTATTGTTCTATCAGGGTATTGAAAAATCTTGATCAATACATAAATTATTCCTCAAAATTTTTTAATCTTAAATTAATAACAGCATAAAGTATTTATAATGGTCGAAATGACTCGGAGTAGAATATGTTATCCCAAATCATCTTTAATTTTGGGAAAAATAGTTACTTAAATACTATCTATAAATCAATTTCATTCTGACCTTTGTTTTTTGCTGTCTTAAGCTCGCAAAAATTATAATTACTTAACTAAACTACGTAGACAAACATCCCTTAAAAGTTTGGAATCACTTGAAAAACATTTTATCTTCTTGAGCTTATTTCATCAGCTTTTGTTTTCAACCCCCTGGTATTTTAATATCAGTTCCTTTTTTTGGTTTTTAAGAAAAAGCAAAAGAGTTTAAAATATCAAAAAAATTTAATTATTGACTTTTAGTGTTGCAACTATTAGAGACTTTAATAATAAACACTAAAAATCAATTGTGAATCAACATTCAGGAATTTAAAAACACACATAGAAAAAGTTAAAATTACTATTGTATCTGCCATTTATAGTATTTTTCATGGCATATATAATTACAAGATCATTTTGAATAAGACTAAGATTATAGGTTTTTCAGTGCGTTTATGTTAATATTCAACATTATCTGCTTCTGTTACTTTATAATTGATCGATACCTACTTGTAAATAAAAAGTATTAGAAATTCATAATTCTTTACATATAACTATTATAAATGAAGAATGTTTGATAGATTTATTATTTTATTTTGAGATACCGATATCCTTTTATTGAAAAGCTCATAAGAAAATTTGAATTGAAAATAAAATTCTTCATATATTATTTTTCTTTTTTAAAACATTCTTAATCTTTACCAAAATAATTGTTTTCATCTCCACTCAGATTTGTTTACCTATTTTTATCCATTCACTATATTCCTTTAATATTACAATATTAATGTTTCTTTCTCCGTTCCCAATTGAAACTCTTTAAATGAATTCATCTATCTCCACAAAAATAATTTATGATAATATCTTAATTTTCCAATCAATTTTTACCTTAAATCTTTAATATTAAGTAGTAATTCAAGATAATTTTTAGAAAATAACCAGGTATTTTTAATATTCATTAAGTAATGAATTTAATTCTTTATCTAACAAATTAATATTTTTTATAAATATTGAATGTTAAATTATGTTTCTAGTTAGAGTTAGCATTATATTCTTGAAAAAATATAATTAAGAAATTAATAAGAAGTGGTTTAGGGAACAAGCCTTTAGCCTAAGCTACCCATAATCGCAAAAGGAAAAAACAAAGGTTCAAGGCCCTAAATCCTATGGAGGAAGGAGCTCGAACAGCTTCACCATACAGGTCTTGTAAATATAGAAAGGCGTCTTTCGGGAGCAGGATGGCAATCGGTAGGCGAAGGGAAGTTCAAAAAAAATCCAAACTCGGAGTCGAGGCTTGGAGTCGGAAGGAGCCCTGAGAGAGCGGGTATGCTCGATGCCTATGTAAAGCTACGGGGGAGGGATTTACTTCCCCCCTTTGGTAAACAGACTGACGCACTGAAAAATAATGAACTTAGTTATGACACACTATATTTACCCAATATTATTCATAATTTATTTTAATTAGATAAAATGAATAAGAAGGTTATAATTAAATAAAGGTTGAAAACTAAAAGGATAATTTTTTCGTTCAAGCTTTATTCCAGGTACGGCAAGCATAGATTCATACTTAATATGAATCTTTGGAAGAATTAAATTATCGTGATTCAGATTTTTTGAAAAAACTATGGTTTTCTTCCAAGAAAAGAATTAATGAAAATATTAATTTCTAAGCAAAACAATTTAAAACAATATTAAAATGAATAGAATTTTTGCAGAAATTGAATAATGTGATTCCACTATTATCCCGAAAATTCTAATTATAATTTTTGCAGAGGTATAATATACTCTCTTTTAGCAAAAATGATATTTGAGAACAATTTTCTATTTATTAATAGAGAAAATTTAAAAGTTCAAAGAAAAATAGAATACTTTGATCAAATAAACCAGAGATCGAGACCATTACTATGGAAATGGTATTATTTTAATTCCATTTTTATTAGCAAATATATGATGTAACTAAAAATGAGTATAAGAAATATTTATAAAATGAATATATTTGACTAAGCAATAGAATATTATGAAAATATCTTTTGAATAATGTTGAAAATTCTATTTCCTACTATTACAAAGGTATAATCTAGAATGAAATTCTTTTATCATAATGATTATTTTGAAAAATTTATAATTAACAAATAGAGCAAATTAATATATTTGAAAAAGCAATGAAAAATTGTAATTTACATATTTAGATTAGTCCAAAAATTGCAGACTATTATGATGGCAGAGATTCTCATCAAATAAATATTGTTTAGGAAATACTTTAGTTTACAAGTATAAATAAATTTAATTTAATAAAAAAATTTACTGAANGGAAGTTCAAAAAAAATCCAAACTCGGAGTCGAGGCTTGGAGTCGGAAGGAGCCCTGAGAGAGCGGGTATGCTCGATGCCTATGTAAAGCTACGGGGGAGGGATTTACTTCCCCCCTTTGGTAAACAGACTGACGCACTGAAAAATAATGAACTTAGTTATGACACACTATATTTACCCAATATTATTCATAATTTATTTTAATTAGATAAAATGAATAAGAAGGTTATAATTAAATAAAGGTTGAAAACTAAAAGGATAATTTTTTCGTTCAAGCTTTATTCCAGGTACGGCAAGCATAGATTCATACTTAATATGAATCTTTGGAAGAATTAAATTATCGTGATTCAGATTTTTTGAAAAAACTATGGTTTTCTTCCAAGAAAAGAATTAATGAAAATATTAATTTCTAAGCAAAACAATTTAAAACAATATTAAAATGAATAGAATTTTTGCAGAAATTGAATAATGTGATTCCACTATTATCCCGAAAATTCTAATTATAATTTTTGCAGAGGTATAATATACTCTCTTTTAGCAAAAATGATATTTGAGAACAATTTTCTATTTATTAATAGAGAAAATTTAAAAGTTCAAAGAAAAATAGAATACTTTGATCAAATAAACCAGAGATCGAGACCATTACTATGGAAATGGTATTATTTTAATTCCATTTTTATTAGCAAATATATGATGTAACTAAAAATGAGTATAAGAAATATTTATAAAATGAATATATTTGACTAAGCAATAGAATATTATGAAAATATCTTTTGAATAATGTTGAAAATTCTATTTCCTACTATTACAAAGGTATAATCTAGAATGAAATTCTTTTATCATAATGATTATTTTGAAAAATTTATAATTAACAAATAGAGCAAATTAATATATTTGAAAAAGCAATGAAAAATTGTAATTTACATATTTAGATTAGTCCAAAAATTGCAGACTATTATGATGGCAGAGATTCTCATCAAATAAATATTGTTTAGGAAATACTTTAGTTTACAAGTATAAATAAATTTAATTTAATAAAAAAATTTACTGAAGCAATAAATTTATACTAAAGCAGTTATTTAAAAACTTAGAAATTTCATCATATTAAGTAAAAAAATTATTTGTATTACAGGTAATTCCATAGGTATATCAAAGTGTTCCTTATTTATTAAAATAGCAAAATTAATTATGAGCTTTTGTAAAAACTCCTAATAATTCAAACCAAAAATGGAAAAATAGAATTTAGATTATTCATTTAGATGAAAATGATTAACATTTAAAAGGGAGAAAAATGAGTCTTGAAACTAAGAGAATGGTGATCAAAGAACACTTATAGTTTATAAGAAAAGTTATTCATAAGCTGAAAACTTGAGGCAAGATAATAAAGAAGGAAAGATGTAGCCAATTTAAAGAAGAAAATATTAAAAGAGTAAATAAATTTAAGATGAAGAAAGTTGTTTAGAAGAAATCTTGAAAATAATTAAAAGATTACTAATAATATTTTGATTTAATTATGTTCTTGTAAGAAGAAACTTTTGTAAATAATTATTTCAAAATATAAAATTTTTACTATAAATTGGATCTAAAAGTAAAGAAAATTATCACTAAAATTTCTTTATATATTATCTGCATTTATCAATTACTTTAGAGATTTAAAAGCTATATTTAGAATAATTCCAATTAAAATTTATTTAATTTAATAATGACTTGCAAATGTTTACTATATTGACTTTTATTTCAAATTTTTTAATTGTAAAGGTATTGATATATTTTTCATACATTATCATTTATTTGAAGAACGATTAATTAATTTTATATCTTTTTGTATCAATACACAAAAAGCATATTGAAAATTCAATAATCAATTACTTTTTGAAAAGGTTCATTTTGAGCCTCTATTTCTCTAATTCCAAATGATTATATCTAAAATTCAGATGGTCTCTTGCATTTATATTAAGAAGAATTTCTAAAAAAAAATTGTTATAAATACTACTTAGCAACAATTTAAATTTTAATTACAAATAGATATCTTTAGTTATGTATTATTTCTATTATCAAATTCTAAATAATACAAAGGAAAGTTTCCTAATCATTTGAAATTTATTCTTTCATATCAAGAGATCCTTTAGAATTATCTATTGTTAAAAAATTGGAATTATAAATATTTACTTTATTTTAATAAAAAAATTATCAAAAAGGATTCTTATGTTCTTTCATGGAATGAATTATTCCTACCTTAATCAAATCTGACTTTATGAAATCCCTGTTTTGTCACTGCATGAAAAATTTTGTTTAAAATTACATAGTCCATATAGTATTTGTAGTATATATGCTTCATTTTTGGATTAACAATTTATAGAAGTTGATTGATTTTGTCTAGCTCATCATCACAATACACTATTATTGATAATTGATTATCATGGTAAAGGAGCTTGCAAAGACATTATATCACCTCTTGTTTTAAGGATTGTAACCATCACATAAATGTTGGCATATTTTGTTTTGAAAATTTAGAATAATTGCTGACAACCGAAAAGATACTTCAAAAATTCATTTTTTCATG